CTTCATCAGGTTTACTCTTCATCATCTGCACAACAACAAACTGTATTTGAACTGTCAAAGTAAAAGTTGGACTCTCTCTCTCTCTCTCTCTCTCTCTGTGTGTTAGCAACAGGAGGCTAGTTAGCATGCTAGCAGATTTAACGCTAGTTTCATTCTGACGAGCAGCAGGAACCGTGACGTCAGTAATGGGTCTTACACCTGATGTGACTCGGATCGATCAGCTCTGATCATCGAACACAACGAATCAGCTGTTTTTACCTTCGGCTGCGGAGGATCCTCTTCTTCTTCTTCTGTGACGCAGACTGGGCGTCTTCCGCTCGCGCGGTGGCTCCTGGGAGTTGTAGTAGAGTGAGAACATGTTTTCGGATTCTGCAGGAACACAGCATCCGGAGTATGAGCTTTTACTTTGAAAGTCTTCACAGGAAGTGGTCACAGTGGTGAACTAACTCAAATGTCCAGGTTCCTGTTGGAGCTTCAGTTCTCACAGCTGCTCAGCCAATCAGAGGTCAGAACGTTTACCATGGTAACCATAGTGCTGCCCCCCCCCAGGTTCTGGACCGAGGGTGGAGGTGGCAGGACGTGGTCCTGTGACATGTCCCCCTCTTCTTCCTGTGTTGTTGTGTTTAGAGACAATCTGACATGTGACAACACCCCCCAGCAGAGCACTCCACCTCCATACGTCTGCAGCCGGACGAGCGAGGAGACGAGGAGACGAGGAGCAGCTCAGGATGCAGTGTCGAGGAGATCCTGGGGGGGAGGAGGACGCCACCAAGGAGGGCTGGACCAGATTCTACTACAAGGCCATGAAACAGAGGTTAAGATATTGAGCTCATCTGATTGGCTGAAGGGATCTTCACTGTGTCAGCATGGTGGGCCGACATGACTCCTCCTGACCTCTGAACTTTACCTAACGCTCAGAGACTTAAAGGAACAATCCAACATTTAATACGTTTCCCCTGAGTACAGGAGGCTGTTAGCTTAGCACAAAGACTGGAATCAGAGGGAAACTGTTAGCTTCCTCTCCTCTTTTTCTAAAATTATTGGAATGTTCCTTTAAAATGTGACAGAATGTGTGTGAACAGTTACCTTAAAGCTAACACGTAGCCACCAGTTGCTCCTGCTGATCTGAGCATTTGTGCAGCTGCAGGTTGATGAAGAAAAACCATTTGTTTATCAGATTCACTTTATTCTGAAGGAATGTTGTTGTTTCAGTTTCATTTTAATATCTGAACAATAAAAGACAAAGTTCAATCTAAAATATACAAAACAACGACAGATCAGACAAAGAAACATGAAAATCCTCAGTACATGAAAGTGAAGGTTTTCAAATGCAGTTTAAAAGATTGGTCTTCATATTCACAGACATAAAAGTGGACTTTGTAACAAGGAGCATTGATACCAAACCAATCACTGATCAATAACACAGATTCTAAACATCAAACAGTGCACAGACGTTTGTCTTGTTTCATTTAAAATGATTTGTGACATTGATCCATTGAGCTGCCTCTGCTCTCTTTCTCTAGTTTATTGGTGGGTGGAAACCAACGTCAAGGTGCATTACTGCCCTCTACTGCTGCCTCGGTCTCACATCCACAAACCACCCGGACGGAGAGTTCGACGGATAAAGGTCCGAGTGATGGAGCTAAAAAACCTCCTCATCCTCACAGCCGTAATCTGCAAAACACAGTCAGACAATCAGTCAATCATCAGTCAATCAATCAATCAATCAATCAGTCAGTCAGTCAGTCAGTCAATCAATCATCAG